GGTGGTAGAATTCACAGTAGAGCTAGCTTCAAAGAAGGCTTCTCTGTAATCTCTAACTTCTTGTTCTTTCCAACTGTGACTTTAGAAATGGGGAAGGGGGCCATGAGTTGAAGCACCAGTATCACACTTTGAAATGTGGAGGCAATGGCCCCAGTGTCCGAGGCCCTCAACTGAAGGCAAATCTGAAATGTTCTATTTTAACACATCCTGTTGAATGGTTCTTTCATCAGCTGCCAAATTCATTCATGGTAAAGCCCCCATTACAAAAAAAAAATGGAACATCTTATCATAAAACATTGTCTATTCAACTGTTTTGAATATAGATTTACATCCAAATTCTAACTCAAAATTTGTGAACTTATATTCATATCTGAGAGGATGCCAGTGGTATCAAAATATCCATGCTCACCCACACCCTTGCCCTTAATGAGAGTTCCTCATAGGATTTTATGTTTCTCTCCAACTGAATTAAATAGAAGAAAACACAAGACCGGCATTGTTGAGGTTTCCAGAGAATACCGCCCCTTGGCAGGCTGCCTGCTGGGAGGTCAAGCACAACCCAAGTCCTTCTCTTAGCAGCACCTCTAGGGAGAGAAAGCAGTCATCAGAGACTTGTTTGAGGCTGGGGTTCAGATTTACTGATTTTTCATTTTCTTGTCCTCGGATGACCACTCAGGAGTTTTCCTTTTTTTAACTGCTTTTTTCTACCTGCTTTCTTAGTCTTGAGAGGCTTACTGAGACATTGCCAATGTAAGTCCATACTATTTTTCTAAGAGACGGGGTCTTGTTCTGTCACCCAGGCTGGACTGCAGTGGTGCAATCATAGGTCACTGAAACCTCAAACTCCTGGGCTCAAGCAATCTTCCTGCCTCAGCCTCCTGAGTAGTGAGGACTACAGGTGCACATCACATTACCATGCCTGGCTAATTTTAAAAATATTTTTGTAGAGACAAGGCCTTACTATGTTGCCCAGGTTGGTCTTGAATTCCTGGACTCAAGCAATCCTCCCACCTCAGCCTCCCAAAGTGGTGGGATTATAAGCTGTGAGCCACTGCACCTGGCCATAAGTCTATCTTATACAGACACATATATTTATTCAGAGCCAGGTGGTAATGGTTTTCTAAAGTCCTGTGATAAACACAAGAAACAACCTAAAACATTGAGTCGTTTATTTGAAAGCAGCATAATTTTAGTGTTGAGTTGCCCAAGACACAGTTGCTTTCAGTCTTTCTTCGGAGAATCCCAGAAGCTCCCAGAATATATAAGTAGGGGCGTTTGTCACCCCTACTTATTCTCACAGTTGAAGTTGAAGTTCATTCCTATCATTGAACAGGGGACAAGATTCAGAGAAGCAGCCAAATTCCAAATGATTTGGCGTGAAAAAATCTCAGCCTGAATGTAATCAGAGGCCTAGAGTTTTCAATCTCCCTAAGTTTTGTAGACAATTTACATAATTACATTGGCACACACATTTTTCCATTTCAATAAAAAGCCTCCAAGATCTTTATGTTCATGGACAAATCTTTAATATTGTAAAAAAATATATAATAAACCAATATAAACTCAAAAATTCCAAATAGGGGCATGATTCCCTGATTTTTCTTTTCAGAGCCAGTAAGAATACACTTCAGATAGAGAAAAAAGGAGATTTCCTTTGCCAATTCCCTTCCTCCACTCAAACATACATTATACTCAGACACAAGAAGCTTTATTAGCCAAGTCTCCCCCATTTTGCTTTGATATTTTGAGCCCAATTAAATATGACGGATCACAGCTCTCAGTACATGTTTGTGGGCAGATTTTTGCTTGCACACATAGTACAAACGTCTTTGATCAAGACCAGCTGAGAACACTGGCCTAAGTAGGTAGACTTGGCAGAATTCTCAACCTTAGCTATTTCTATCAAGGCGAAGGGGTTCATACTACTTTTTAGAAGTCTTTTTTCCTCATGGAACTAATTAAATATAAGTCTGTATAATAGAAGTAAAGTTAAAACAACTATAATAATTTCTGTTTCTTTTTGATTACAGCAAAATGGACTGAACACAAAGTAGTTTATAAATTCTATGCTTACGATCACAGACAGGAGCCACAAACCATGAATGCCAAAGTAAACACAGACCAAGCTGAGTGTCAGAGTCAAAATGTACATCAAATTTAATGATACATATTTAATGATATGCATACTCACAGTAATTGCTCAAGTAGATGGGAGGAAGTGCCAAAGACACATTTCATCAGCCTCACAAATCAGCTAGTCCAGATGGCCCCCCATCTTCTTCAATCCTACTCCAGCGCCCAGAGGACAAAGTCCCTGGACCGGTAGTGAAGGCCAGAGGACCACACATACTCATTTACTCTCTCCATTCCCTCCACAGGCCAGAAGCATAGGCTGGGATGGTGGAGTCAAAAAAAGATCTCCTTGTACAATTCCTGTTCAGAGGCTCAGATAACCTATGAAGAGCTACCAGATATGTGTCTCTTCATCAATATAACTCTAGCACAAAGTACAGAGTCAGGGACAATTTGTTCAAAGGATGACCCCTGGGAAGACAGGTGTTTGTGCTGGGAGATGAGGAGGAAGATTGGCATAGCAATGTGAAAGTGTTAGAAATTCACCTCCTAGTGCATATGAGTTAATTGGTTTGCTTTCCTAACATCTAGTACCCAAGGAAATTGGAGTTTTAAAGACTATAAAGATATCGGATTCCTACAGAAAGAGGGAAAATATATGAGAAAAAGCATCCCCCACAAAACCCTACTTCTTCATTTAATACTTGTTTTCGGGTTTTAAAAAAAAACTTTTAGGTTCAGGGGTACATGTGCAGGTTTGCTATATAGGTAAATTTGTGTCATGGGGGTTTGTTGTACAGATCATTTTGCCACCCAGGTACTAAGCCTCGTACCAAATAGTTAATTTTTCTTATTCTCTCCCTCCTCCCATCCTCCACCCTTAAGTAGGCCCCAGTGTCTGTTGTTCCCCTCTTTGTGTCCATGTGTTCTCATCATTTAGCTCCCACTTATAAGTGAGAACATGCAGTATTTGGTTTCTTGCCCCTACGTTTTTTTGCTAAAGATTATGTCCTCCAGTTGTATCCATGTTCCTACAAAGAACATGATCTCGTTGTTTTTTATGGCTGCATAATATTCCATGATATAGATATACACCATACTGTCTTTATCCAGTCTACTGTTGATGGGAATTTAGGTTGATTCCATGTCTTTGCTATTGTAAATAACGCTGCAATGAACATACATATGCATGTATCTTTATGGTTAGAATGATTTATATTTCTTTGGGTATACACCCAGTGGTTGGATTGCTAGGTTGAATGGTAGTTTTGCTTTTAGGTCTTTGAGGAATTGCCACAGTGCCTTCCACAATGGTTAAACTAATTTACACTCCCATCAACAGTGTATAAATATTCCCTTTTCTCCACAACCTGGCCAGCATCTGTTATTTTTTGACTTTTTATTAATAGCCATTCTGACTGGTGTGAGATGGTACCTCATTATGGTTTTGGTTTGCATTTCTCTAATGATCAGTGATGCTGAGCTTTTTTTCATATGCTTATGGCTTATGAAAAGAAAACATATATGTTTTCTTTTGAAATTTACTTCACACTTGTATCAAAAACAGGGTCCTATTCCCTCTCCCCTCCTTTCAGAACCCTTTCCTCCTGTCTCATCTCCTGTTCTAATCCATCCACAGTTAGGTGAGCCAACAGTGGGGATAAGATACCTGCAAAGGTCTGATTTGTGGTTCCACTCCTAAGGGAAAGTCCAGGTTGTTTTCAGGATTGTGTTTTGTTTTGATTGGGAGGGGGTGGGGCATAATAATGTTTTTAGCCTGCTTAGGATCTTTGCTTTGTACAAACTACACCCAAGAGGAATTTTGGGATGCATTCCAAAATAGGAATACATAAAACTTTCTGTCCAACTAAAATCATTCAGGAAAATGAGAGAACTTTCATCCTGTGTTACAAATGACTGACTGTGGTTTCTTTCCTGAAAGCAAACAATAGTAACACTTCTACCAATTATATTGATAATCCGGTCTGTTCGACTGACAGTGTAAATTAAGATCAAGTAACACCTCTTCCTAACTGTTTTTGAATGTTTTATAATTGTCATGAATAGTCATCTCTTTGTAAATTACACAGGGCAAATGTTGATCTAATCAAAGGGGGTAATTTCATTAACAGACAGAATTTGTGAAACCTTCTTATGAACAGAAAAACCTCTTACTTGAATAACAGAAATAATGGTACCAAAATGGCCTTCCTAAAAAAAATGAAGATATTGCATGCAATGTTATTTCTATACAATGAAGGTGTTAGGATAATTATCCTGAGTTTCCAGACTATGAAGGATTAAAGATAACTCACGAAAGTACTATAGAACAGTACACATTATTAAGACTATAATAACAAACTGTATAATAAAAGTTTGTTTTATCATGACAATTATGACATGGTTTTCATAGAGAAAACCAATTAAAGACAGCTGTGTCTTAGGTATATTTTGGAAGGCAGGCTCATGATACATAGTTACAGTAGAAAGCCTTCACTCTGCCACTGATTACCACACACACACACACATACACACACACACATTTTGTGAGGAGCATTTCTTATATGGGATCAAAACACAAAGCCATATTTGCTAATAGGTCTATACCAACTTCCATGGCAATGCTGGTGTTAGGAGACAGAAATGGTACTGCCTTATATCAGTGAGTACCATGCTTTTGCGCTGTGTTTAAAAGCCTTGGGTGGTGGTGGGGCTTTAACCTGCAATGGAAGGTAGCATGGTGCAGTAGAAAAAACACTTTTTGAAATCAGTAATTCATGAAATCCTGATTCATGGCCCCACTTTTTACACAGACCAGAGCTACGACTCTGGAAAAAACAGTTAATGCCTCTGTGATTTGGTCTGTGTGTCTGTGTGTGTGTATGCGTGTGTGCGTGGGTTCGAGAAAACAAAACAAAACAACTCACCAATTCCAGACATTGCCTGTGCCCATAGGCAGCAGCATAATGTATGCTATTGTAACCTTCCTTGTCCCGGATAGACGGATTTGCATCATTTTGAAGCAGAAACTCTAGACATCTGTAAGTATAAAAATGAAGTGTTATTTTAGAAAACATCTCTGGACTGAAAAAGATAAGTTTACGTAAATCGTCCTGTGATGAATGTTCCATGAAGTATTTTATGAGTTTGTTTCTTTAAAAACCCTACAGCATTGAAGTTTTATGTATTGAAAATTGTGTGTGTGTGTGTTTTCTGTAGCTATCTTTATTTGAGCTTAATATAGCCATTCTAGAATTCAGGAAAAGCTTTAGGAAAAAGAGGGTAATTACGATTTTTTTCTCTCATCTTCAGGTAAGAACATCTGTTATCAAGATTACTGAATAGTAAGTTTTGGAGCTCCACATTGATTGAACAAAGTCTCAATAAAGAAGTGATCAGTAACAGGGCAAGTAACAGGGCAACCTCAGTAGGGAGGGGTTTACTCTTAACCTCACCATAAAATCAAAGGTTAGAAAATGAAAGTTAAAAAGAGTAAGAAAAAAAAATAAGAATAGCCTAAACAATAAAAATATTAAAGGAATGGGTAATCATTTTTAAAGAACAAAGAATTAACTTCATAACCACATATGAATAAAGAGGCTTAAATTTCACCATTAGGAATATAGACCTGAAAAAAAAAAAAAAAAGTTTAAAGCCCTTTCAGGCAGAGTTGTAATTTTTCTGAAAAAACCACAGTCTTTGGAAAGCTTAGAGGAAGGAGCATGGCTCCACCTTCACTGAAGAGCCCAAAACTCTAGTTCACAAGTACCCAGGGATGTAATAAGTTCTGTTCAGGGCCTACTGCAAATGGTCCAGTCCTGCTGGGAAAGAGGGAGTCGCTAGTCAGGAAGTGCTGCTTCATAGCGTCAGCATTATCCTTGAGACAATGGGACAAACATGTCCTTTACAAGACCAAGCTGATTCAATTTCATACTCAAATCAAAATGTTAACATTCTAAATATCAACCCATACATTAAATAAGACCTTCCAACAGAAAATTTCTACAGTTTACCCAAAAACTTTTAAATGGCATTTACCTATCTTTTGGTATAACCCAAAAGGAGAAAAGTCAATTACACACAGGGACAATTAAAACAGATACTTCGATTTCTAGAAAAACTGATGAAAGCCATATATGTTTAAAAAAACCAAATACCCACATGTCAATAATAAATCAAACTATTCTTAGAGTCTTGCTATTATTCCCTCTTCAGTCATTTGCACCTTATAAGGAAGGAAGTTCTTTTTCATTCTGTTAATTAAATGCCCATGGAAAGGATCCCAGGTATGACTCACTGTAAATTGAATTTGGCTCTTTAAATGAAATCACTCAATAGGAATAACATGCTAGTGGACACATAATTCCCAATTTCTGAATGGATTATATCCCAAAAATTAGTTGATAAATTGAATTTGTAACACAGTTGAACTATATATACTGCCAATAGTAGTATTATAATAAAAGTAATGTAGAACTTGGATATTCTCCACATTGTTTGTAAGGAAAACATGAATTCCGTGTTTTAGCTGGGAATGCTTATTTTTTTTCTCTTCCCAGGGCCTAGTAATTTGGCAATTATGATGCAAAGCCAACAGATGCACATGAGGTCAGAGGCGTATCTGGATACAGGGAGTGGCCTCCCTTTGCATAGAAGAACTCTCAGGCAGCTGGTTCCTCCTGCCCCCTGCCTTTCTTGTCCCCTCCCTCTCCATCAGCTTGTCTGGCTCAGGGGAAGCTTGCAGTTCACTGGAAAAGGGGGCATTTGCTGCAGTGGCTTAAGATGCTACAGCCTTTTAGTATTGTTATTTTAAATTTGGGGGTATCAAAGCAAAACTCTGGTCATCCTACTTTATTAGCTGCTGCATTTCCTGTCCCCACCCCAATTACCATCAAAGTTAGGTCCCACAACCTGCATTGGAGCCACACTCTCTAACTATACCTTTCCACAACAGTCTGGGCATGGGAGGAGCATAGTGTAGGGTGGGAAGACCCTGGAGTAGACACAGACATTCAGGCCACAGAAAAACTGGGTCATCTGACAATGAAAGAATAAATAAGTTAACAACAATGTGCCTGCAGACTCACAGAGCACCATATCCACTGGATTCCACAGGGGTGAGGCACAAGGTGTGGGTACCAATTCGTTCGTTTGTTCATCAACTCAACAGCTATTGAATATTGACTATGTGCTGGGTACTGCACTGAGCACTGTAAGCTTCTCACTGTGACCTGTGGTGCGGAAAGGACTCTCAGAGGATGAAGCCGGAGGTTCCTGTGCATCTACAGCCCTGAGTGATGGCAGGCACTCCCACCCCTGCCACAGCAAAGGGCTATGTCTCTGTTAGAAGCCAGGGAGAGGCAGGTGGGATGAGGGGCAGGAGCAGCCTTTTGCAGGAGCAGGAGGCTCTTCCTAAATTGATGTGGGTGTGGGCTGGGGGAGGGGAAAGCACAAATGGCTATTTCACACCAAAGTATTAAGACCTTTTAATATAGGATCTGCTAAATAGATGTCCCCAGGTCATAAAAGCAGAACCTAAGGCTCTCAGAGGAGGCTTCATCTGTCTTCACTGATACATGATGCATCACAGTCAGAAATGACATTTAGGACACCAGGTCCTAAAAACCACTGACCAATCACAGTGGTTGCTGAAGCAGAGCTTACAATTTTAGAAAGTTCCCTGTGTGAAAATAGTAGAATTGAAGGCTGTATTAAAAGAATAGTTTCTTTCCCATTAAAGGCAAACCCATATCACTTCCTCAAGATTCCAAGTGAAACCCCAAAATACTAAGGCAGGCAACGTGGCAACTCAGAGAAGCAGAAGCAGCATCAGAAATGGCACCTTGTTCTTAAGCTGAGAAGAAACTTACAGTGTGGCTTCCTTTTCCTTCAGCTCCCTGGCTCTTTCAAGTTCTTCTGAATTTTCATGGGCATTTCCTAAGATAGTCTTACTTCTCAGCATAAAGGACAGAAAAAAATTGCAATTAATTTTTTTAAATGGCAAAGCTGTTAATGGTTTTGGTGCAATTTATATCTTAATGATTTTTACCCCAACCCAGAAGAAATAAGCACCACTGATTTTCACTGAAGATATACATGGTTCTCTCCAAAGCCATCCCATAAATCTATTCTCTCCCAAGGATCCAACTGAGAATATGATTTCTTAAAACTTCCACTTAAGTATCAGCAATTAAGTTAACAATCAAGTTGCCCACCTTTCTATAAACATTCTAAACTTCCCAAGTAAAGAAGTAGTGACTTAGCTGAAACTTCTTTGACTCCTACCACATTCCCCACTGCCTCCTTACCAGCTCAGCATCTCATTTGTCCAGAAATGGGGTCCTATTCACCCTTCATCTGCCAGAACAATTCTTCACCATCCAAAATTCCTTTTCCAGCTCTTAACAGAGGAAGTGTATTGTTTCTCCACCCTTTTCACCACCCCCAATCTATTCCAAGTGAATTGTCTGGAGCTTGGCACATAGTAGATGCTCAATAAATGTTTGTTAAGCAATGTTTGTTAATAACCTGTACGCCTAAGGGATCAGAATGCTACATCTGATATTATTATTTCTATTTATTATATAACTATGAAGAGGAAACAAGCAGTATTTTTCAAACTACAGATCATAAGCCATTACTGAATTGTGAAATCGACTTAGTGGGTTGTAGTCAGCAATATTTTTTATCTAATGAAATACAGAATATGTCAGAATGCATCACATATGTTAAAAGTAAATATGATTTTATGAAAACTTTATTTCCACTTTACATACTAAATAAACTATATATACATGTGAATGTGCATATTGGGTCATGACTGTAAGATGGTATTTCTCACTGTGGGTCACCATCTAAAAGCCATTGCTCTACAAGAAAAGCAATTAGCACTGACCCAGAATCAATTTCACAGCACAAGGCAGCAAATAATTCAATAGTTCTTCAAACAGGGTCACCTAAAAGTATTCCTATGAAGGAGGCCCTTCCTTAAGCTTCCAAGAACAATTTCATCAACTGTGGGCATCTCTCCCACCTTCTTCCCTTGAACTGGTTCACTTATTTCTGTTTTCCATTCCTACCCACCTAGAATCCAAACATGCCCTGAGCAACCAACTTCCTCTCCTCTAGCTCCTGAAAGAGCATTCATGCCCAGGTTTGGAGCAATGGTGCCTAGTTTACATGTATTGACGCTGAATTTAAAGGCTGTTGGGATTATGCATGGGTGGATGTTTTTGACATATGACATATATATTAGCAAATGTAAGTTTTATAGCAAATGAAGCATTTAAGTGGTGATGATGAAAACTATGGTATATGTCAAAATAAATTACAACAGATTTTGAATGAACCATAAACTTGAGCTTGACAGCTACACTTGGGATTCAACCCAAAGAACAGAGAAGTAATTGTGCAGTGACATGTAATAATCAAACATAAATTGACCAGAAAAGGAAAGCCCAGGTTTGGAATGAAGCAAATCTAACTCTTTTGGGTTAGTCTAACTCTTTTTCCATGAGGTGATATGAAGAAAACTTAGCAATCCTTCCCCACCACTCCCCAACCCTGTTCCCAGAGGAAGCATGAGCAAGGCTGTTTTTACTTTCTATCCATGTCTGATGCAGCGGCATAATGCAAAGCTGTGCGTCCCCAGTCATCTGTTTCATTAACGTTGGCCCCTGTGGTCACTAATGTCTCAATACAGTGGAAATGACAATTCGCAGCTGCATAGTGCAAAGGGGTCCTGAAAAACAAACAGCAATTTATTACTTCATTCAGTCTGGAAAACAGGCCCGTTGTTAGCACTAGCATGGGCAGCAGTATGCCTAGGGGCATGGAAAGCTCTTAGACTCTCACAGTGTGTGGAGATCAAAGTCATGCCTTCCTTTAACTACACAAGTTAGGTATCCCTTATCTGAAATGCTTGGAACTAGAAGTGTTTTGGATGGTTGAGCATCTTTTATTCAAAAATCCAAAATTCAAAATGTTCCAATGAGCATTTCCTTCGAACATTATGTCAGTGCCCCAAACGTTTCAGATTTTGGAGCATTTCAGAATTTGGATTTTCAGATGAGGGGTGCTTAACCTGTATAAACTGGAAGTGAGGCTATAAAGACAGTGGCTTCAAACGAGGCCATCTACCATGGATCTGTCCTTTCTTTTCCTTCTTAGAGCCTATCCTAGTTCAGGTCTACATTATTGCTTTTTTGGACCATTGCCAGCCCATCCTATTGGCTTCCTTAGCTCTAACCAAGTGTCCATAATTTCTAGTTAGTATAAATGAAGAATTTTTTTAAGGTGCAATACCCACATATAACAATCGTGTTCTAAAACCTTTGGTTCTCTCTACTAACCAAAGACTTGATTCCTCAGCCTAGAATTGTAGACCTTCCAAAACTGGTCCCAATCTCCTTTTGATGGGGTATCTCTCTCCCCTAGATGTACCCATTAGAATAACTAAAGCAGATGACTTGAGGCTTTCTGGATCATGTTCACACTTCCCCCCAACCTTTGTCCAGGTTGGTTTACCCCCAGGAATGCCCATTCATGAATCACTTCCACCCATCAAAACCCCACTCATCATCTTGTTACAGGGGCTAGTTCTCTTTATTTTGTCTGAGATGGCTTAGCTACTCTCTGGGTCTCTCTTGAGTTCTTATCACATACTGCCTTGATTTTAGCACTGGTGTATTGTCTCATCCTCCCCACTGAACTGCAAGCTCCTTGAGGGTAGGGATGTTGGTTAATGGGAAGAACAATGCAGAATCCGAATCCGAATCAGAAGCCCTGGGTTCTGACATTGGCAGATGTGCAAGCTGGCCCAAATCATATCCCCTCTCTGGATCTTGACTTCTTCACCCTTATTTCAATAAGAACTTTTGAGCTACTGTGCCCTACCTAAGGTCCTTCTAGGTCTAAAATTCTGTGTATATGTGCAAATCATTTAGTTTCTCTCTTACTAGTTGATTTTTCTCCTCTTTAGTTCAAAAAAAAGAAATTTTAAATATTTTACCTATTGGATTACACATGTTTTAATTAGACTGAAAATTACCAGGTAACAACCTCATGACAGAGCCCAAATATAAACACTCTAAGGTCCTGCTAGGTCTAAAATTCTGTGTACACGTATAAATCATTTAGTTTATTTGGGCTCAGCTTTCTCATCTACTAAAAGGGGTAACAGCATCCCCACATACCTCATAGAGTTAGTATCAGAAAACACAAGCACCTTGTAAAGGGCAAGACTACAGAAATATAAAGTAATTTGCTGTACATTACTATTTTTAACTCTCAATTGTGCAGCAGTTTTTCTGGTATGACCAGCTGATAGTCAAAGAATAATAAACAAACAATCAATTTTCAAGTATAACTATTTCATATTTTATAGTCAATTTATGGGCTCTGTCACTAATTGATTTTTCTCATCTTTAGTTCAAGAGAAAGAAATTTTAAATATTGGATTGCATATGTTTTAAATAGACTGAAAATTACTAGGTAAGAACCTCACGACAGGGCCCAAAGATAGAGAGAAAATGATACCCAGTTCTTGTTCTGAGGAGGCTCACAGTCAGGTGGGGATGTCAGAGACATGTGAACCACAGCAACTCCATCTTGAATAAGGGCTGGGTAAGATGAGGCTGAGACCTACTGGGCTGCATTCCCAGATGCTTAGGCATTCTAGGTCATAAGATAAGACAGGAGGTCAGCACAAGATACAGGTCATAAAGACCTTGCTGATGAAACAGGTTGCAGTAAAGAAGCCGGTCAAAACCCACCAAAATCAAGATGGCAACAGGAATGACCTCTGGTTGTCCTCACTGCTACACTCTCACCAGCGCCATGACAGTTTACAAATGCCATGGCAACATCAGGAAATTACCCTATATGGTGTAAAAAGGGGAGGCATGAATAATTCACCCCTTGTTTAGCACATAATCAAGAAATAACTATAAAAATGGGCCACCAGCAGCCCTTGGAGCTACTCTGTCTATGGAGTAGCCATTCTTTCATTTCTTTACTTTCTTAATAAACTTGCTTTCACTTTACTCTATGGACTCGCCCTGAATTCTTTCTTGCTCAAGATCCAAGAACCCTCTCTTGGGGTCTGGATGGGGAGCCCTTTCCTGTAACAGGGAGAGAGACAAGGAGTCAGAGTCCACAAGAACAGCATGAGGTACTTTGCAGTCATGAATGATTAGGGTGCTAGAGGAGCAGAGAAGAGGGGCATGCCCATCGGTGCACAAGGAGGTATCACTGACATAAATCTGAGGGCGGGTAGGAGTTGCCTTAGACAAGTTGGTAAGAGGAGAAATTTGTGGCAACCCCAGAGAAGGAGGGTACATGTAGAAAGGAAGGGTAAAGAGATACAATGGGAAAAAAAATTATACATATGTATATACATGAAAAATATATATCCACGTACCAGCTAGCATCATGGCATCATTTACTTATATAAAGGATCATTAAAGTAAGAAGAGTTCTATGACCCATTGGTGGTGTGTGTGCACTTAATGTTTTAAACATGTGTACTTAATGTTTTAAACATGGCTGAAAATTCATCCCAAGATGAAATGTTCAATACATATAATAAAATATTCTAGATCTTATGACTAGGACTTATGTATTCCACTCTGCTAGAAACAGGATTTTCCAAACTATATCCATGTAGGAGTTTTGTTTTGTCTTTTAACTGAAAAAAAAAAAGAGAGACAATTGGCACATCTAAACAGCAGCTGTGAGTGGATATGCTTTCTTTGTGGCTTGTTATTTGCTTTGTTGGCAACCTCTATGAGAAAGGACTTCCTTCCGAGGAGGATGGAATCCCCCCGGCTAACTTCCCAGTTTACCATTTCAACATCACTTGATTACCAGATAGACCACTCCTACTTCCTTTTATTTAAGCACTTGAAGCAGAACTCTCTGATTACATACCTCCCACACTTGTCCTTTTTATGGAAATCTGCTCCGCTGCTTTGCAAGAGTTTTATACATTCCACATTACTAGAAAGACAGGGAAAACATCATTAAGATGGAAGAGATCAATTACTGGCCTATCTTCAGCAAGAGCTATTTTCTGCAGAGTGCAGGACAAGATGAAAAGATAGCTCCCGGTCTAAATTCGGCTAATAAAAACCTGAACATATTAGAGTAATGACATATGGTAAGGATCTAAAGTTCCTATGATTCCTTTTTCAAAGCTAATGAATCAATAGATTAAAGAGCTTGGTGGAACATTTTCAATTCCATGACTAAGAAATTTAATGATTATTACATGATTAAACCCTCCGGTGATGGTTTCATCATTTATCCTAAAATTCTTTTTCAAAACCATCAAGAGTTTATGAAACAACCACTTAAACCTATAATAATTTCATGTCACCTTTAAACAATGAGCCAGAGTGGATGGGCGTTACCTTCTATCACAGCAGAATGAATTCACTATGATAACTACTTTCAACCCAGACACTCCTTAATGGAAAATAAAACAACTGTATTTCCCTGTCTTTGTAATTTATGCAAATAAATGTGCAGAACCAAGGTTGAAAATGATGTCATGGAGCACAGTGATCTTCCATAGCTTCTTTATCATTTGCAGAAGCAATAAACCATATTTAGTAGAGAGAAAAGGACCCATCAAAGTGATTTTTCCTATTAAAGGGCATGTAGCTAAATAGTAATTCTAATAGAATTTCAGACATGAATCTGGAATTGTATGTTGTCACTTTCTGTACAGGTGTGATATTTTTTACATGTGAGCATAAAAAAGAGACAATTGTCCATCATTGTTCTAAACTTAGGATGCTAGAAGTGGCCTGGAATTATTACTATAATTTAAATAAGAAAAATCATCTCAATGATAAACCTGAGTAGGGCTCTCCTCATCCTACACCCACACTTTATAGCTACCTTCTCAGAGAAATAGCTCTTTCAATCATAACATATAAGAACTTTTTAAGATAAGTATGTGTTGGTATAGCACCCCAGCTGATATAAAGCACCTGTCTCTTACTGAATGATGCCAAAGGATCAAAGGCAGTAGCAGATCCAACTTGTGTGGCTCATGAAGCTCATACAGTGTGGGGGCTGAGGTGGGGGAAGGGGTCTTTTTAAAAAATAATACAAAATTATGACTACAAATCTAGTTATAAGAATTCAGAAGGGACTCACGTAAATAAGGAGCCCTAAAGTGTCACCATTTATCCACCTCTGATAAATAGGTAATGACTTTGGTAATATACAAATGACAAATGGAGAAGCATTGCTGTTCCTTAAGGACCAGGAACCTGATTAAGAACCAACATCTTCCCCAAACAAGGTCATCCAAGAGATGCCATGTTTAGTCAATGTGTGGTCACATATATCAATAACATATTGATCAGAGCTTCAATCTTACCACTGGTATGTGAAAAGAAAGTAGCTGAGGAAAAATTCTCTTTACAACTTAAAAAAAAGGTAAGAATTGCCTGTCTTTTGGGTTTTCTTGACCTATGTTCACACTTAATCATTAAAAGACTAAAAATGATATTTGAAATAATGAAAAAATGTCTATAAATGAACATAAATTAATTCAATCCTTGATTCTTTTGATTATCACCCACATACCAGCAACAAAAGAGGAAAAAGCAAGGAACAAATTTCAAATTATTTTCTTTTGGTATATGGAGTAACAGATACGTATTCTATAGCCTGAAAATCTATAATTTAAAAAAAGAAAAGAAAGAAAAGAGAAAGAAGAAAACAAAAAAAACTATTTGTTATTTGAGATGGGCTAATAATTTTTCTTTGGTGAAACAAAATGCACATGATGTGGGGAAATATAACATAGAGATATTTGATCGTCGGTAGAAATAATTCTTACTTATTTTACTAAGGAAATTGCCTTTGATTCACAGACAACTTAAGTCGATAAAGATGAATTAGTAATTAAGTCATAAATTAACTAGAATTGCTAACTACTCACCCTCCTGCAGCAGCAGCATGAAGGCACGTTCTTCCAAATTTATCTGGGGTGTCTATTTCAAAGCCTGCAGACAGCACGTGCTCATTACTAAACAAGGATACTATGCTATACTTTTGTCCTAGTTAAACCACAAGAAACATTGCAGAGACAGAAAAATCAGTTAGTAGAAAAACCAGAATGCAAGCAATTGTAGTCAGAAAGAGGTTGTCATGGAAACGAATGGTAACTGCTCAAGCTTGTCAATTTTATAGGAAGAACCGTGAAGTCAAGAAGGATTTATTTTAACATTCAGCCCTGGGTGAACCACAGCCCCATTTTTTAATCCCAGGATAGAAATTTATGAAACCAATTTGAGATAAGTAGGGCAATCGACAGGCAGATAGAACTCATGGACAAAACATGGAGGCAAAGGAATAATCTTAGCATGCTGGAATAGACATTTTCTGAAGTAGATTTCAACCTTTCAGTTGGTTTAAGAGTTGGGAAACATGCTTGCATGCAGGGATTATTTTCTAAACATGCCAACAGTAGTGAAAGCAGAATCAGCCATAGGTAAAGTACTTAAAGGAAAAAAAATGCCTCTGGGATATCTGATGAATTAATTCATAAACAATCTTTGCCTTGCAGACCTCTACCACTTTTGAAAACCCAGGAATTTCTTAATATATGACAGTTGGCAGAGGTAGTGATAAGAAAGATTAGCAAAGCTCCAAACAAGAAACAATCTCTTGGCTCCAAATAGTCTCATATTTAAAAAATCGAAATTAAACCTAGTTGGAGGAAATCAGCCATAGTGATTTTTCAATGCCCAGGGAGTGGGAAAGTAACATGACGTTTTCTACCACCAGATGTAGGGTATTTAACCTTTTTCCTTTGTTGAAAAATATTAAATGCTAATCCATCATTTTAAACCTCAAAGACTTTTCCTTCTTCTGTGACATAACTTTTCTATAAACTCTGGCCATCCCTGTTTCTTTTCACCCTAGAACACCCAAGCTTTACCTTGAAAAGCAGGCAAGACTCTCATTCTGGGGCAGGAATAATGACATTCAAACAGCTTTAACACCAAGGATTGTTGGGAGCTGTCACATGCAGTTAGTTGAGGAACACAACTCATCCTGACAAGTCAGGTAATGACATGAAGCACAGGCAGCCACTCACTCTGACCAGACACCTGAAGCCACTGACTCATGTACAGGACACATTAAGCCTCATTTCTGCTAATGGTTTTACTTACCTGATGATAACAACTTTCTGCAGCAGTCAGAGTGAGCATTTAGGGCAGCTAAATGTAAAGGGAACATGCTATGGATTCCACACCTGAGGAGTAAGAAAACAGAGGCGCTCACGGCAACAGATCTCAAGATAAGTGCGGAAGGACAATTACCTTTCTAGATTCTCTGATGAAAATTAACAACACCTTGTGTAGGGAGTCTTGGCTGAAATAATTCGGTAATTGTTCCATTCAATAAATAATTATGCAACCAGTTTCTATCTTAAAATAATAAATGCCTGAATCAAAACCATAATTAAAAGCCCATTGCCATAGGAATGTATATTTAAAAAAAAATCTGTTTCACATAAAGCATGACTCTTTAAATTTAAAATTAATTTCCCTCTCATTTTCTTTCAGCTTGGCAATTATATGTCTCATTCTCTCATTCATCTATTCAACACTTTCTAAGCATCATAGACTATGCTAAGGGCTGGAGATAACAATACTGAGCAAAACAAACTCAAGTTTGAAAAGCAACCTGTTTCCTTTCTTTCTTTTTTTTCTACTTTTTTTTTTTTTTTTTTTTGAGACAGAGTCTCACTCTGTCACCCAGGTTGGAGTGCAGTGGTGCTGATACAATGATAGAGGCAGGGGGCAGAGAAATTCTAGGCAGAAAAGGGCAGGTTCTGAGCAAAACCCCATACTCAAGCTGAAAAGCCTGAAACTGTGCCCCAAAGTGAGAACTTATATCCCTGTTTTCCCACTCAAATGTTGCCTTTTCCTAAACCACCCATGGCCCTCCTCCACCGAATCCTGTGTCTATAAAAACCCCAGACTCAGCTAGCAGACAAGACTATGGCTGAATGTCAGAGAGAAGCAGCTTGATTTCAGAGAGACAGCTTGATGGCATAACTTCGGAGGACAATCTGGCCAGAGACAGCTGGACTTCAGGGAGTTATCTACCCATCCCGTCCCCTTTTCAGCTCCCCTTCCCACTGAGAGTCACTTTCATCAGCAATAAAATCCCCTGCATTTATCATCCTTCGATTTGTTCGTGAGACCTCATTTTTCCTGGATGCCAAACGAGAACTCAGGAGCCACAAGTGCAGATATAAAAGGCTGTCACATTGGCCCTTTGCCCTCGCTGGGGGAGGGCAGCTGCCTCATGCAAAAAGGCAAAGGACCCACTGAGCTGTTAACACTTAACCCAACCATGGACGGCAGAGTTCAAAGAGCACTGTAACATGCCCTCGGGGGCTTTGGGAGTTGCAGGCACCCCCGCCTGGATGCCGCTGCAGGGCCTGCACAGAGTTCACTCCTGCCAGTGCCAAAGCAGCCAGCTGGTTCCAGCACTCATTCACTCCAGTTCCCATGCTCATTCGCTCACGGGTTCCTTCCAGCGAGGAGTTGAGAGTGGCAGGCTGAGTAAACAAGGTACCCCTGTCACAAGTACCACAAAGTGGTCAGGGAAATATTCTGCTTCAGTGTAATCACAGCTCACTACAGCTTTGACCTCCCTGGGCTCAGGTGATCCTCTCACATCAGCCTCCTGAGTAGCTCGGACCACCACAGGCACACATCACTATACCCACCTAATTTTTTGGTGTATTTTGTAGAGACAGGGTTTTGCCATGTTGTCCAGGCTGGTCTTGAACTCCGGGGCTCAAGCAATCCACCTACCTTGGCCTCCCAAAGTGCTATGATTACAAGCATGAGCCACCACGCTCAGCCCTTGTTTTATGTCTTGATTTGATAAACAAATATTATTGTTGTATTATGTCCCAAGCACTTTGCTAGGGGTTAATCATGGCTACATTGTTGAGAATAAAGTTTTGGATGAGAATAAAAACTAATGTTTGCCTTTTGCTGATCAAACTTCATCTTCCTAATAAATTTTTATGTTGCACAGTAACCCACATCACAATACCAGTCACAAAAACACAATTGGGGGTAACAAACATTACTTTGCTTATATTTCATAAACCTAGTAGTATTAACGAGAGAATCTAGAAAAGGACTTTATAGACTGACCCCCACTAAGACACAGTCCCCAGGATGACCTCTTAAGGGACAGGCAGCCTTCTGATGGCAGCACTTTTTTGCCTTCGGGATTAAATCCTCCTCGTCTTCCCTACTACATCTTCTTCAACAAGGACCCAAAGCCATGTGCTGAATTGTGGTTCATAACAAACAGCATCACCAGGTGGCTCCTGTGTACTTACAAGCATCTATAATGTTAGTGACCACTTCTCATAACACCTCATTTTAATCAAATAATACATTTCAGCTTTTTAAAACCTTCTACTTAATACAAACAAGTATGGGACTGTATCTGTTTACACCCTGCAGCATTAAATGCCTAAGTCTCCTCTCTGGCACAAAGTGGCCCATTTTCAGACTCCATGCTTCATAAAGAAAACGTATGATTTGAATTTGTTAAGCTTTGGGTACATACATTTTATTTACCATCTCAAAAATTATTATGGTGATGTGTGTGTGACTGTGTAAAAGGATATACACATTCACAGACATTTCATGGTATTCAGTGTTTTGCAAAATTCAATTCTGTCAGCAATTAGCCACTGTTTTCTCTTTCCATAATAGCTTCTTCCTATTTAAAGGTGGTTTTGTTCAGTCTTCCCTCTGTTTGTTTTCCTTTCCCTATATGGAGATTCCAGCCCAGTGTGTATAATAGCTGGCATCCATCAAGTGATGCAATTTGCTCATCTTCCAGGCAGCGTCATGTGGAGGAGAACTGCTTGTAATTGCCTCTCTCATCATTTACCAAAAAAAAATTCTGAAATGCAATTGCATCAGTGATGACCTTGATGTTCTGAAAAGGGAGAGGGAGTTGGGGCATAGGAGAGAAGCTTTTCTACTTATGCTATTATTTATATTGTTCCCTCCTGATTCGAGAGAAACATTCTTTTTTTTTTTTTTTTTAATGCATAACATGTTTTAAAACCTCCTTATTAAATGGAAGCTAAAGCTAATGTGATTTTACCTAATCGTTTTATTTGTTTTGGGAATTTAAGGCAAAAATATGTGATTAAATATATCTGGACATTTAGAAAAGGAAAATGGATAGAATATTTTCATTCCTGAAAGAATGTGCCTGGAATCAAGGACTGGATTTCTCAAGATTTCTTTGAGCTTTTCTCATTCTTTAAATGCATACATACATACAAACACACACACACACACACAAATATGTTCATACACACCCAAAAATAAAAATATATATACACATAATATATATACAATATAGTTTATAAAGTTCCATATATATCTTTATGTAAAACAATACAAGCAAATGAATTTGAGGAAATAGCATCAAACTCTATAAGAAACCACTTGGGACAAACAAAAAGTATAAGTGATAGTATAACAGAAACAATATGATATATTCCATAAACCTCATTATCAATATTTCCAATCAATCTTGCCACTTAAAACCCATCTTTGTATAATTCATCACATTCTACATTCCCTGATTTTTTTTCACTGCTCCTTACAAACCTGAGAAGATGAGAGAGATAGAACCACTCTAATTTAAAAGGTCTAGTAAAAATTATGTTTGATACATATTTTTTACTCCACAGTGAATAAAAAGTTACTACTTCAGTGCAGGATTTGAAAATAGATTCATGTAGACTCAAATACTATTGGCATTTGCACTTGTATATGAAACTATGGTTCAAATAGTAAAACTAAGTTTCAAGCCAAGATTGGAAAGAAAAGAAAAGCAGAATTCAGTGTCCCTGAATCAATTCAGAAATGATTTATGTATTTCAAAATAAAATTACTACTTTATTTTTATAAAATAAGACTTATCATAAAGGAAAGATTATAAAACCTTTAGCAGGAAAATCAGAACTTGGCTGTCTTAGCCAATTAAGAAGCATCACTCTTACTTCATCAGGTATACGTCAAGGAAGATGAAGAATGGAGGTGCCAAATCACACCAAAGTTAACAATGCATAAGTTACACGGAAGAGGAGAACAATTCTGGTTAAATTGCCACATTTATTTGACCAGTCATTAAATTAATGGAACACATTTATATTAGCTAGTTCTAATTTAGCTGTTAGTTGGCATCTCCTACCCAGTTATTTCAGAATCAATGAGGTCTGCAGGCCTGTCTTGCAGAGAGCTATTAGAAGTGAAGAAAGAGCCTTCACACGATTAGAATTTGGGGTCTTTGAAGCTTTCCCCTTGGCATCAGGGAGACGTGGCTGCCCTCCCTACATCCAGTCTTTTCTAGAGCTGCCTTCTTTAGGCCATGTGGGTAAAGAACACATGATTAAAGTGACAGAGTCAGAAACTTGGGGTTTGAGTCCTCATTTTGCCACTTGCTATCTACTTCATCTTTGGCGAGTGCATAATGGTTCCCTCCTCGGAAAAATAAGATAATTACAGTGACTCTATCATGGAGCAACTGTTAAGGACCCATTGAGATAATGTTCACGTAATGCTAAAAGGGAGCATCAGTCACATGGAAATCCTTTACCACACATGTTAGTATGATTGTTGCCCTTGCAATCCATATAAGCTTAACTGGTAATCAGCAGTAGATGAGTTTTGAAGTTGTAATCAGGTTGTACTTCCTTAAAATCAGGTGTATGATTCCTTAAAAGCCAAGAATGAATCATGATCATTTAACATTTCTGTTATCTTTCTGTGTGTCTAAATTCTTTATAATATTTACCTCACAAGTGTCCCAGCAAAGTGGGATTGTTTTAGCTTTGCTCACTGAGTGGGTGAGACAAAAACATTTCCTAAATTTAGAATAGGATGATTTTGATTTTTTACCCAAATGATCAGTCCAACTAAACAAACCAATTTCTTATGAATTTTATCTATGCAATTCCAAGTATTTATTATGCACCCTTAAGTGACAGCCATGAGACCTGGTCCTTGTTATTTGCAATGAACAGATGTTTTCAGTGGTTCCTTTTGAATCAAGTTTAAACACTCTAAAGCGGCTGGAGAGGCCCCTTCTCTATCTGGCTGTTGTCTAATCTGCATATTCTAGAATCTCAATAAACTTGTTTCCATTCCTCTAAGTGCCAGGCTCTGTCCTGCCCCCAGGCCTTTGCACATACCAGTCCCTCTATCTGAAACTCTCTTATCTTTCTCTCCTGCTTCTCCCATTATTTCTCTAATTAATCAGTGCATCTCTGAAGCACTGGAAATATCTTTGGGATCTCAAGAGTTCTGGGTGAGAATCTTTAACCTGTATTTTCCTTTTCATGATAATCTAAAACAACTGGCATAAAAGCATTTTTTTGGCTCATCGGAGTGGCCCTTTATTACCACATACCTCTGCCTAATTTCAGTGCCCATGTTTGTACTGAGGATCACACTGGTGTTAGTGTAGTACTGGCATGGGCCAGTGAGAAAAGAATAAAGATGGGCTCAATAGACAAGTGACAGGACTGAACCTAGGGAGGCCCAATGATAATGCAGTACCTGAGCCTTCCATATAAACAAAATTTGGCAGTAGTTTGAATAAGGGGTTCTGTGCTGCATGCCAAGTCCACTGTTCCACCACTTTAAGCCACTGCAAAACCTCCATTCTTGAAGTGTACACTGAACTCTAAAGAGCCTGCACCTCAGCCACCAGGACCATAATCCTACACAAATGGTGATTTCACTTTGGCAAAATGTGAACTATCACATCATCTGTTATGTAGGGGCAGCAAGCCACGTGCTCAGGAGCTGAGGGTCCAGATCCAATGGACCGAAGATGAGTCCCATTTCTACCCCTTACTGGCTCTGTGACCTTGAGCAGGTAACTGAACCTCTCTGTGCCTCATTTACACATTCCCATTTAAGATGGGAATAATCATAGCACTTACCCCATGAGGTTATGGTGAAAGTTAAATGTAACCCCTCAAAGCAGTGCCCAGAGGGAAGCACTCATAATGTTTGCTACTACTAAATTGTACAGTTAACATGAATGGTGTTGGTTTCTGTTTGCATGTATTTTGTAATTTTTAAATATATTAATTTGTTAGTGTCAAAAGCCTAAGGAGTTTATCTAGTTTACGTTTATACATATTTATGTATCATTATAATAAAAACAAGTATATACTGAGGATCTAAAAGACTCTTGCTACTATGAGCTAACTGCTAGTCACCCTTCAGTCTTGGTTAACCTTTACATCTTGCTTCTCTAGTCTTGCGAGACTGGGTTCCACATCTTAGATATGTTTTCACACATCCCAGTGGCACCCAGCAACTGCTCTGGCATTACACTTAGCGTGCATGATTGTATTGCTTGTTTAAATCTTGCTCCCAGGAGATTATAAATTCCTCAAGGGCAGGGACCTCTATAATCCCAGAACCTGGCATCGTAGGTACCACTTAGGCCCTCAACCAATATTTAATGAATGAATGAATGTCAGAGCCAGCTATCTATAAACTATCATACCCCTAATTCTGTTGCAGTTGAGGCAGAAAAAGAATGCATAATTGATAAGCAAATAGGCAAATTAAAATCCTGGAGACAATCCCCAAACTAACAAAATTAAAGAAGATAAACCAAACGGCTTTGACACTATGTAAAGTTGCATGAGCACTGAGTCAAACCATAGGAAGTGACTCTGACTTAAAGTTCAGAGAAGCAAAAAGAGTAACAAAGAACATTCTAGTCAAGGGCTGACGTTTACTTTAGATTCAAATAAATTCGTAAGAAAGTAATAATGATAAAACTTGTCATATAGGGTTAATTTAAATACGTTTGGCTATATTGCTTATGAATGAAGATGGGTTCTTTCCACAAATGCTATTTGTTTTTTCACTTATTTATGAAAGGCCTATTTTTCTCCTTTTTAATAATTCTATAAGGAACCCAGAGAACAGTGATTTTCTGAGAGGCTTTTGGCAAATTTAATCTTCTCCAATTACTCTTCCCTTCATTTTGATATTTTGCCCTAGGGTGGTTTCCATTCTCCCCCACACACAAACACACAAAGGCACTTACACACACACATACAATCACTGCCCTAAGGAACCATTGTCACTGAAGGTAGCATGTCGCATCCCCAGATTCATTGTGACAAAGAAAGCAGACATGGCTCTTTGAGGCTGAGACAATGTTTCCCTTATCTGTGTCCCTAGGACATAGCAGAGACAATGGAAGAAAAGGCTACTTGAACAACAATGCTATTTTTAAGGCATTTTTGCTACATGGTCTGTGTTTCCATACATTGAAAGCAAAATAATTACAAGGAAATGAATTTCAATCATATTGAATTAAATGGTTTTTACGGAAAAATTTAAAGTAACTATTGGGTCCAGCTTATTTTTATTCCTAAAATGGATTCAAGTCTAGAAGAAAATCAGACATTCGTAATTGTTTGGCTAAAATTTCCCAAGTAACCCAAAGCTGAAAAAAATACCACTGAAAATATTAACACAGGTAAAATCAGTTGGTGCCTAAATATTTTTCTGCTTAATTAACACTGAGCATTTATTGCAGTCTCTAGCTTTGGACATCCACAATCTGGTTGGGAACTCCAGAACCTGGTAAGAGCATCCTGAATCTTAGTGTAGAGCTCTTTCCACAAAACTGAGAGGCTTATTTTAACTTAAAACATCCCAATTAAAAAGTTATTTTGGCTCACAGCAGATTCCCCTCTCTTCTGTAAAAAGACATCCCACTGCTAATACTATTTGTCAGCATTCTCCTCTTCTGTCATCCCTCAGCCTCATCTTTAGCCCAAGACCTCATCTTTTCTTCCCTGGACATCTGCAAGAGGCTGCCAAGCGTTTCTAGCCTGGACTGCCTCCAATACGTCTGGACCGCCTCCAGTATGTCTGGACTGCTATCAGAGGGATCTTTCTTACACACAAAGGGGATCATTAGACACAACCTGTTCTACACCCACTTATAATTCTTTAACAGCTTCCGAATGACTCAGAATGGAATCTAATTCCTTAGCAGGACTTGCAAAGTCCTTTGAGATGTGGCTCTTCCAGCCTTTCCACCTCATTTCTTTCCACTCCACCCACCAAACATCCAATGACCCAGCTTTAGAAATGTGCTTTTAACATGTTCACATGTTTATGTCTTTATAACGACTGTTCCCTCTTCTTGGGATATTCTTCCTTGCTCCCATTTCTCTTTCTACCCCATGATTCTGTCCATCTAGCAAACTTCTACATATCCTTCCTTTTGTTACAACATTGTCTCTTCTCAGGGATCCAGAAAATTAGTGTCTCTCTCTCTCTCACTCTGTTCCCACAGCCTGGGACAAACATCCATCTTAACAAACTTCACAATACACAGTCATTTGTGTTTGTTCTTATCTCTATTACTAGACTGGGAGGTGTTTGGAACCCAGTTCAACTTAATATTGGATTGATGAAGATAAACCATTATATCCTGCCAATCTACCAGAGTGCTTCACAAAATTCATTTTAAGTCCAGAATACCTGGCCCTCTGTGAATCTGGTTTCATGATCCCACTACATTTTCCCCAGACCATTTCAATTTTAGCTCATTCTCGTATAAGACTTTCAACTGTGTTGCACAAAATTGACAAATAAAACAAAATTCCTAAGATACACTGCCCTCATATGGTTTTTCTTCTAAAAATTCAGTTACTGTTATACACAGTCTCTGTGATCAAGGCTAAACTCTTTATTCAGGGATTGAAGGCTCTCTTTAATTTAGTTCTACTACCTATTATTAAATAATAAAATAATAGCTAACGTATATTGATAGCTGACTATGTGCCAGGCACTGTTCAAAGAGCTTTTAACATGGGTTATCTTTTTAATAACCTTAGCAGATATATTTGCAGAACTCATATAGATCTTACCAGATACCAAAGAGCTTTACTAGTAATTAAGTCATTTAATCTTCATAACAAACCTATAGATAAGTCTTAGTATTACTACAATTTTTCCAATGATTTAAGCAAGGGGCTTAAAGTCACACTGCTCACAAGGGAAGCAGCTTGGATTGGCCTCAAGGGAGCACCCACCAAAGCCTGGGCTCCCAACCACCCTGGGTCCTGCCCCTGGGTGGCGCATAGCATCACCACATTCTCTACTCTGTCAGGCCAAGCTCTTCCCTGGTGTGGAGTCTTTGCCTCTTTTGTTCCCGCTTTCCTCCCTGCTTGGGATGGCTGCCACCCTTAGCTGTACTCAGATAATTCTCAGCCCCTAAAGCCTAGCTAAAATTCATCTTCTCCTTGAAGCCTTTTCAGAAAACACTGGCCACCTTTGAGCTCTCTCCTCCCTGTCTATATTCTGTGACACAGATTGTCTACACCAAACATTTGCCACTTAAGTCTGCTTCATTTAGAACTTTATGATATATGATGTTGCACAGTTCTTTGACTTAAGTGGGTCTTGGGCCCTGAACAAAATTATGAGCTCTTTGAAACTAGATAACTTACATCTTCTGAAATCTCCCATAGCACCCAGCATAGATGCTTTATGTATTTTTGTGGAATTGAAGTTCAAAATGAAGTTAGGTTCCCCCTTCCCTACATAGCAGATTGACTCAATTGTACTCTATAACAGAAAAGCTGAGTAAGCACTCTGAATAAATTTTGAATTGGCTCAGTTATGTTTTACTTTTCCTGTTTAATATTAAGCATTGGGAAGGACAGAAGAATATTAGAAAGAAAAGTTGGGAATAAACTTCAAGTTTCCTTAATCAAAACCACTGAAATAGACCTCATTTGGATGAAGCTAAAAAATAAAATTGGTTCTTCTTTGCCTCTGTCATTAAAAGGCACTTAATTTATTTAAAATGTAATTTGTATTTAGTATAATAGTACAGATCCACCTTAAGCTGGATAAATAGGAACTATCTACTGCATGGAAGAATCTTTTCAGCAGTATTCCCACTTGAGGCAATTATTCCACCGTATTTTTGCGGTAACCTACTTGGCTGTGTCAGCTCCGCTGGTTATTAAGGTGTTAATCAAAAGCTCATGACCGTATCTTGCAGCCACATGGAGAGGAGTGTTGCCATCCTTATCCACACAGTCAATTTCACCTCCTGAAAAAGATATTTTAATACAGGATAACGCAAGGATTCAGGTTGATTCAGGTGCTACGTTCTCAGTTAGTCTCTTGTATCAACCAAATGTTGATTTCTTTCCTATTCCGGTTGTGCATCTTTGCTTTGAAGTACAAGAATGCTTTTAAAGGGGACAAGTCACCCTATGAAGCAGTAGTAGTAGTAGTAGATCTGCGTAGACAGAAGTCTATTAGAAATGTTTTTGAGGCTGGGCTTGGTGGCTCACACCTGTAATCCCAGCACTTTGGGAGGCTGAGGTGGGTGGATCACGAGGTCAGGAGTTTGGCCTGACCAACATGGTGAAACCCTGTCTCTACCAAAAATACAAAAATTAGCTGGGCGTGGTGGTGCATGCCTGGAATTCCAGCTACTCAGGAGGCTGAGGCAGCAGAATCCCTTGGGCCTGGGAGGCGGAGGTTGCAGTGAGCCAAGATTGCGCCACTGCACTCCAGCCTGGGTGACAAAGTGAGACTCCATCTCAAAAAAAAAAAAAAAAAAAAAAAGAAAAGAAAAGAAAAAGAAAAAGAAATGCTTTTGAGAAATCTTTCCATATTGTCTTAGTTAAGGATCCAAATCTCACAACTAAACACCTGCTCTGAATGAACAATGTATTCAAATCCCATAAAGTGTAATTCTGAAGACATGTTTAATTTTAATTGTCCCTCCTGAATTAAAGACCTATAACATAAGAACCAAAGGGGATGGAGAGTTCAGGAAATGATTTCATGTAATTTGATGATCTAGCTTATAATATTTTAATATTATGACTAAAATGAGTAAAAGCATAGACAATAGACTGAAAATGCCTATATTTATAAAAACTATGACAATAATCATCCATACTTCTTTTAATAATATTGTCATTATGTTTTATTTTGCCTTCTCTTCCCCCAGTTTTTATTTCACTAAATTTCTTTTTTCCTCTTCCTTTTGTGTGTGTGTGTATATGTACAATGGTCTATTCATCATTCATTTATCTGAGGAACCATTTAAGAAGTTAGATATCATAACATTTTACCACTAAGTATGTTTTTCCTAAGAACGAAGACATTTTGCACATAACCACAATTCCATCATTTTACCCAAGAAATTTAACATTCATAAAAGAATTTTATGTAATATCAGTGCATATTCCAATTTCTCAGACTGTCCCCAAAATGTGCTTTATAACAGTTATCTTGTTTTAATCCAGGATCCAATAAAATACCCTGATAGCACTCGGTTGTCACGTCTCTTTGTTTCCGTTAATCCAAGACAATCCTCCTGGCTTTTTTTTTTTTTTTTTTTTTAAGTTTCTCATGTCGTTGATATTATTGGAGGCCAAACCACGAGTTGTGTCACACGCTCTGCATTCTGGAGTTGTCTTTTGGTTTTTTCATTATTAGATTCAGGCTAAACATTTTGGCAATAATGCCCAGAGCAGATGCGTGCTTCCCACTGCATTTTCTTAGCACACACACAGTAACTCCATTACCAGGCGATGCAAAGTTTGACTACTTGCAATGGGTACCAACTTTCAGTTTGGGAAAAGAAAGAGTTCTGAAAATGGATGGCGGTGATGGTTGTACAACAGCAGGAATGCACTGGATACCACTGAACTGTACACTTAAAAATCGTTAAAATGATAAATTTTATGTTATATATATTTTACCACAATTAAAAACAAGGCTTTTTTTTTTTAATTGGTTAAGGTGGTGTCTGCCAGTACACTTACTGCAAAAATATCTTTTCCCCTTTGTAATTAACCAGGATCTGTGGGGTGATACTTTGAGACTGTGCAGATATCTGATTTCCCAACAGACTTTTCCACAATAATTTTTAGCATATGTAGGGAGTACTTTGTTCAAAATTTATCTGAATTTTTTACTGTGTGCTTATATTATCAATATAAATTAGGTTCATTTGATTCTGTTTGCTTTCAAATTTTTTCACTGGGTTTTATTTTATTTTAATAATAAAATATTATTACATATTTTAATAATATGTAAAATACTTACATTTCAAAAGTTAAAATATTTTTGAAAAGGCTTACTCATTCTTATCCCTTCCTCTTCACCCTCATACACATCCTATAGTAATCATTTTCATTAGTTTTAGTTTATGCTTCTGTGCTTCTCTTTGCAAAAAAAAAAAAAAAAAGAATTTCCCTCCTACTTAACAGTATATCCTATATCTCACTTCTAAAGATGACTTATTGGAGATCTTCCTGATTTTTGTACAGTTTTATTGTTTTCCATTGCACAGTCGTACTAGTTTAGTACATTCATGTCCTATGGATAAGCATTTAGGTTGTAAATAACATTTTGCTATTATCTGGAATGCTGCAGTGAATAATCTCATACGTATGTTGCTTCATATTTGTTAGATGTATCTTCAAGGTAAAGTTTCAGAAGGGAGATATCTAGGTCAAAGGGAAAATTAATATGTGGTTTTGTTAGATTTTGCCAGATTTCTCTCTGTAGGCACTGTGCAATTTTGCACTCTAACCAGCACAGTATGAGAAGCACTTTTCCTTATAGCCTCATCAAGCTTTTGAATATCTGCTGTCTAATGGGTGAGAGCTGGAATCTCTCTGCAGCTTTCATTTGCATTTCTCTTATTATAAGGGAAGTTCTCTTATATGAGGGAAGTTGAACATCTTTTCATAATTACAGAAGGACCATGTGTTTATCTTTTTCTGTAAACTATTTTTCATGACTTTTGCTCATTTTTCTAAGTTTGTGTGTATGTCCATAAACATACACACAATACTGACATCTAAACCATATACACACATCTATATATGCTAGGATAAGTAATATAAAACCCTGAGAAATAGAAATATATGAATGGCTTCAATCAATCTAGAAAGAGGTGATACATGTGTTTTAAGCACCTTATTTCTGATTGAGAAAGTATTTTCTTATTGTAGAAAATTTAGAAGATGCAGTAAAATAGAAATATAAAGAAGAAACCAGAAGTCATCTATAAATTCACTGATTATCCAAGATAGTCAGTACTAGTATTTTGGAATATTTCCTTCCAGTTGTGTGTATGTGTGTATGTGTGTGTAGAATTTTCCCACGGTTGAGTTCCTGGTGTAGAAAGAGTTTTTTAATTCTATGTTCTCCTTTAATGTTACATTACAAACCTTTCCATGTCATTAATTTTTTTCTTTAATATAATTGTAAATGACTACATAATATCAGTATCTAGAGAATTTACTTAGCAAGTCCCCAATTAATAGGCATTGAGGCCATATCCAAATCTTTGCTATTAAGAAAAACACAAGAATGAACATATTTACAAATAGTCTTTACATTTCAGATGATTTCCTTTAGTAACCTTTTTTTTCCCCTGAGATGAAGTCTCGCTTTGTCTGCCAGGCTAAAGTGCAGTGATGCAGTCTTGGCTCACTGCAACCTCCCCTACCCAGGTTCAAATGATTCTCCTGCCTCAGCCTCCCGAGTAGCTGGGATTACAGGTGCCTGCCACCATGCCCAGCTAAGTTTTGTATTTTTAGTACAGATGTGGTTTTGCCATGTTGGCCAGGCTGGTTTCGAACTCCCAACCGCAAGTGATCTACCTGCCTCAGCCTCCCAAAGTGCTGGAATTATAGGCGTGAGCCACCACGCCCAGCCAGCAACATTTTTAAAAGTAGGACTACTGGACTAAAAGTATGGAGACCCTCGATACATACCGGCAACAAGCTTTTGAGAAAGGCTGTGCCCATTAGCATTCCCATCAGCAGTATACTCGAGCACTGTGCCAAAAAGAAGCCATTGAGAGTCTTCTCAGATCCGGGGAAAGAGCATTACCTTCCAGGCCAGGACACTGTTCCTTGTAATAAGACCGTCCATAAGGTCCTCATCACATCTATATGGTCCTTCATTCCAATGAATCCTACTATTGGCCATTATAACTAATAACTCCCCAACATTTGTTTTCAGCAAACAATGCTTTTTTCTAGCCAGGTGTACTGGCAAAACGCAGGGCTAGAGTATAAGAATATTTGCTACAAAGTGAAATGATTACCAAAATGTGTGCGCTTTGTGAAGGGGACAATTGTTTCAAAAACTCCAATTAGTACACACAGGATTTTGGATGCGTCCCTCTACTCTCAAGACTTCCGTGTGTAGAATTTTGTTTGAAAATCAATTTGCTGCGGATAAGTTTACCCATTTAGGGGTTTGTAACTTAATAGCTGTTTACAAAAAGGGAATCCCTTTTTAACTGACTGGGACAGAGAACTATAAATGGGAACTTGAATAGAAATACTGATCTTTCTTCAAATCTTTGTTTCTGTGTTACAGTGGGGTTTTTTGTTGTTGTTATTTTGGGTTTTTTTGGGTTTTTTTGTTTGTTTGTTTGTTTGTTTGAGCCAGACTCTCGCTCTTGCTGCCCAGGCTGGAGTTCAGTGGCACGATCTTGGCTCACTGCAACCTCTGCCTCCCCAGTTCAAGTGATTCTCCTGCCTCATCCTCCTGAGTAGCTGGGATTACAAGCGCATGCCATCACGTGCAGCTAATTTTTGCATTTTTAGTGGAGATGGGGTTTCGCCATGTTAGTCAGGCTGCTCTTGAATGCTGACCTCAAGCGATCTGCCTGCCTCAGTCTCCCAAAGTGCTGGGATTACAAGTGTGAGCCATCGCATCTGGCCTTATTTTTAAAATGAATTGTCCAAATAATAAAGTATGATCACTTTTGTAAAGTAATAATTAAATATCTTTACATATATTCTTAAATACATAGAAAAATCCAGAAGTGTCACCAAGCTGCCAATAAAAATTCTTGGGATAGGGCTGAGGAGACACATTGGTGGGGACCACAGGGAATCTCTTTCATGACTTAATTTTAGTTTACAGTGAGCATGTACTACTCTTATAATCAGGAAAAATAATAAAAGAAAACTAGTTATTGTGATCATCTAGGGACTCAACAGACAGTTAACTATGGCCTGAATTTAGAAGTGTCCAGTTGAGATCAATTCATTTTATGAC